ACACCATCACAATCCCATTCATCATCCTCCTTTCATGTGGGCAAAGAATTAAATCAGTTGTCAAATGCCACGTTCCACAACCAGGCCTTTGTTAATTTCCTGAACATCATGAGGGAGGGGGCAGTTCTGATCTCTAATTTATAACACTATTTATTTGAAAAAGTTTTTGTTTTTGGGCTTTATGAATGGTTCCATTAAGAAAATGCATAAGGATGTGGACTACAACTCACATGCCAGGTTATTCAAATATATAAATGCAGTTCTTTGCAGTTTCAAACCCCACTAGTACTTAAAAGTTGGTCATGTTGGGTATGTGTGTCAGGTTTGGTCAAGATCCATCAATGGTGGGGGACACTACTGTCTGGATGCAGGGTGAACTACAACTCCCATCATACTGGGTCAGTCCTCCCAAAACCCCTCCAGTATATTCTATTGGTCATGAGTCTTTGTGCCAGGTTTGGTCCAGATCCATCATCGGTGGGGGTCTCAGGGCTCTTTGGAAGTGGGAGCCAATAGGAAATTGCCCACAAACATGGACCGCCACAGATGCACATACATTCACTATTATTAGATATAGATAAGCCTTTAGACTGACCTTGAAGGAGCTGGGGGTGGTAACGGCCGACAGGGAGCTCTGGCGTGGGCTGGTCCATGAGGTCACAAAGAGTCAGAGACGACTGAACGAATGAACAACAACAAGCCTTTAGTGCAAAAAAGGCTAAGAATAAGATCTTATATGGAATCTGCATCCCCTACATTCTTATAATTTGCTGGAAATGTCTGGAAATTGGCACCGGCTGAATGTTAGGAGGAGAGCTTTGCTGGGATGAACAAAATGACTTCTCAGATCCCTATGGAACTTAATCACGGAGAAGGCAGCGCAGCTAGTCAAAAGCAACCGGACTGGTTTTGAGGTTTGGCTCACATTCAGCCGAAATGCCACAAATCCTTGCCCATTTCTCCTTCCTCCCTTCACTCTCTCTGGGATTTAGCTGTTCTTAGTCCAGCCGGAGGTCACCAAACATTGAAACGCTCTTAACTCTAACCTCGCTTCCAAGTTACTTTTGAGGATCACATTTCAATCTCTATATCTTACGTTATAGAACATTTTAGCCTTTCCACCAAACAGTGGTAATGAAATTCTTTGCCTGTTGGAACTCTGGAGTTCTCCTTTTGCCATATATATATATACGCATACACACACGCACACACACTAGTTTGGGGACTCAGCGGTGCCAGGATTATTTGAGAAGGGCATTGTTTGTCTGTGCTTAAAGTTTTATCTAGATCAATGTAGGCTGGGTTCAGTGAGTGCGGGTGAACTAGAATTACCATATATAAGTCCCATCATCCATGGTCCATCCTCCTCCAAACCCCACCAGGATGTAGAGTGGGCCATGGGGGCTCTGTGTACTAAGTTTGGTTCTGATCCATCATTGGTTTGGGTCCCAGTGGTCCCAGGAAATGAGTAAAGGTACTGCATGTCCCATCATCCGTGTTCAATCCTCCTTCAAACAACACAAGGATGTAGAGTGAGTCATGGGGCTCTGTGTGCCAAGTTTGATTTTGAACAGTCTTTGGTGTCGGTCGGAATGCTCTCAGGAAGTGAGTGAAGGTACTGCAAATCCCATCATCCATTGTCTATCCTTCAAACTGTACCAGGATATAGAGTGGATCGTGTGGGCTCTGTGTGCCAAGTTTGGTCTTGATCTGTCATTGGTGATGGCCACAGTGGTCTCATGAAGTTTGTGGAGGTACTGCAATTCCCATCATCCAGGTGAATCCCCCTTCAAATCACAACAGGATGTAGAGTAGGTCTTGGTGACTCTGTATGCCAAGTTTGATTTTGATCAGTCATTGAATGAGGGCTGCAGTGGTCTTAGGAAGTGAGTGAAGGTACTGCAAGTCCCATCATCCATGGTCCGTCCTTCTGACCCTGTTCAGAAGATTTCATCTCACTTTCTGTCCTTATGATCATTGGATTTTGAAAAAATTGGCTTGTCGTGGAAACAAGGATTGGTGATAAAGCTTCAGTGGAGACACCTTTTTCCCATGATAATAACTACCTGGAGTGAAATTCCCTCCCGAGGGATAGATTTCTCTCACTTCCTGTTGCCTCATCCCTGTTCTTAACTATGAGCGTATGCCAGAATACAAGGATTTGTGCTGGGTTCACACAGGGTCAACCCGATACCTTCAGAAAACCTATAAGCAGGATCTTGGAACATCACCCTTCTGCTTGTGGTTATTGGCAACTGGTCTACAGTAGTGTCCCTAGTCTTTGTCTCAGTTGGCAACTTCCTGTGCCATACGAGCCATACCTTTGCATTGATCTATGCCCCAAGCTACTATTTGCTTATTTGCATCCAGATCCTGTTGGAAGACGTTCGCATTAGGAAATACTGAGGTGCATCATTGCCAGATCCTTTTAGTGTACCTACTCTTGTTGGAGATTTGCTATTTAGTTAGGAAAGCCCTTAAGATTCAAAGCTGGAGGTGGACTTGAAGAGAATGGGGCCTTGAATTTCCTCCTTCCATGGATGCTTTGTTGTAATGATCACAAATTATAATGCACTGTGAAAGCAGCATAAAAGCAGGAATGGGGGATTTGGTCTTCCTGAGGTTTTAGGTTACTGCATTCCCTTCTTTCCTATGTGTGAGGCTGATGGGACTTGCAGGCTAAAACATCCAGAGCAGAGCTTTCCAAACTGTGTATCGCAACAGGTTAGTGTGTTGGCTCCAGTGTGTAGGTTCGCCTTATGAACGTTGTGAGAAATCTCTTGAGTATATGTAAAATAAGCATATATTTCTAAAAATATGAGAGGTTTTCATGAGAGATGTTGTGTCATTTCAATTTATGTCTCTCAATACATCTCTTATAACAATTGATTTAACTTCTGCCATGCTGCTGAAACTGATTTACTGTGTTGCAAAACAATGCATGTCTAAAAAGTCTGAAATTATTTGAAAGCCCTGGTCTAGGGAGTCAAAGGTTCCTCATTTTCAATCAAGTGGGAAACATTTCTATGGGTCCACCATGAAAGAAACGCAAATGATTCGGCCTTAAGAAAATTTTCCCTTGAATGGCTGTTTGTATGAGAAAAATAAGTGGGAAGAGTCTGGGTCCTCTTCCTTGACCCATAACTATAGTGTCTAGATCAGTGGTTCCCAACCTTTTTTTTTTCCAGGGACCACTTGACCAGAGACCACTTTGACCAGGGACCACTCTCCAACATTAGCACCAAAAGGGTTACGAATCAGTTTTTGGTCAATGTTAGATTCGGTTTTGTTTATTTGGGGTGCCGATTCAGAAAATTGTATTGGATAGACCACATCAGCTCTAGTTTGTGATACAGAACATATGCCATCCAGTAGTCGCCAACTACTGCTCACTCACAGAAAACTATATTTAATAATTTAGAGATGATGTGGTCTATCCAATGCAATTTTCTGAATCAGCTGCCCAAATAACCCCAGGAACAGGCCTAAAAATGAAGACACCAAGGTGGCCGCACTTCCAGGCGCCACATGGAATGGCTCCGCTTGGGAAGGGAGGAGAAGTAGCAGTCAGGAGGCTTGTTGTTGTGCCTTTCATGGATAGTCAGCCTCTTCACTCCCAACATTCCCATTGCCTCAGCAGTATAAGAGGGTTTCGCGAGACCAGTTGCTCTTGTTGCAATGGTGTAGTAACGGTTAGGTCGCAAAGCATTTTTTAGTTCTTGGGGACCACTGGTGGTCCATAGACCACAGGTTGGGAACCACTGGTCTAGATCAAGGGAAGTCATGGTCCCCCTCTCTTCGGCTTTGGTCAGACACCTAGAATCACGCCTTGTGTCCAATTTTGGGCACTACAATTTAAGAGAGATATAGACAAGCTGGAACATCAGAAGAGGGCAACTAAAATTGTTGCCCTCTTTTGAAGACATTAATCACTCTGAGGAACGACGTAAAGTGCTGGGCATGTTTAGCCTCAGCAGAGAAGGCCAACAAGCAACAACATGAGAGCCATGTTTCAATATCTGAAAGGCTGTCATAAGGAAGGGGGAGCAGGCTTGTTTTCTGATGCCCTGGAGAGAGAGAGAGAGAGAGAGAGAGAGAGAGATATTGATAGATTTACAGTCTTTATATTCCGTCCTCGGTGGCGCAGTGGGTTAAACCCCTGTGCCGGCAGGACTGAAGACCGACAGGTCGCAGGTTCGAATCCGGGGAGAGGCGGATGAGCTCCCTCTATCAGCTCCAGCTCCTCATGCGGGGACATGAGAGAAGCCTCCCACAAGGATGATAAAAACATCAAATCATCCAGGCGTTCCCTGGGCAACATCCTTGCAGACGGCCAATTCTCTCACACCAGAAGCTACTTGCAGTTTCTCAAGTCGTTCCTGACACGACAAAAAAAAAAAAAAAACCACAGGGGACTCAGGATGGATTACAATGTACATATACATAGCAAACATTCAATGCCAATTAGACATACAACATATATAGACAGACACACAGAAGCAATTTAACATTTCAGCTATTCTAACTTCATGACTAGGACTCAATGGAGCCATGGGTTCAAATGACATGAAACGAGATTCCACTTGAACTTCCTGACTATAAGAACTATCCAACAGTGGAACTCTCTGTGTCAGAGTGTGTTGGAATCTCCCTCCTTGGAGGCTTTAAACAGAGGGTGGATGGTTATTAGTCAGGGGTGCTTTGATTGTACTTTTCCTACATGGGAGGGGGTTGGACTAGATGGCCCATGTGGTCTCTTCCCTCCATGCTTCTATGCCTCCCTCCCTTGTGCAGGAACAGCAGGGCAAATGCCAGGATCTGTGAGAGACCTGTTGATGCTGTAGATAACTGTGGAACCACATGGCACAGCAGGACTTTTTGTCATAATATTGCAACCGCTGCACACACACACACACACACATATCCATTTGGTTTTATTTACAGAAGCCTCTGCCAAGCCAAACTCCACCCTTCTCACCTGTTAGTGCATTAAAGTGACGTGTCCTAGCCTGAGCCTGCAGTCGCCTGGAGAAGCATTGCTCGAAGTTCTGGAGGCCAGTTCCTTTCTTGCCACTGGGCCAGTTCTGATTTGGGGTGCAGGCCGGCCTGGGATGGCTAAGGATGCTGCTGGCACACGTTCCATGGCTAGGTAGGCATTAGCTTAATTTTATGGCATTCCATTGGAAAGCATGCAGGTGGGTAAAAGTCATTCATGTTGGGACGTATGATCTGAACATTTTCCCCATGCATCTATCTATGCACAGCAGAGGGTTGGACAGGGTGGCCCTTGTGGTCTCTTTCAACTTTGTAATTATATTACAACTACTACTACTTTTTTTTTGTCATGTCAGGAGTGACTTGAAAAACTGCAAGTCGCTTCTGGTGTGAAATAATTGGTCGTCTGCAAGGACGTTGCCCAGGGGATGCCCGGATGTTTTGATGTTTTATCATCCTTATGGGAGGCTTCTCTCATGTCCTCGCAATGGGGAGCTGGAGCTGATGGAGGGAGTTCATCCGTGCTCTCCCCGCATTTGGACCTGCGACCTGTTGGTCTTCAGTCCTACTGGCACAGGGGTTTAACCCACTGCGCCACCATGGGCTCCAGTACTACTACTACAACTACTACTACTACTATTCTGCTTTATTCCTTAAATGAGTCAGTCCTCCGTATCCACTTAGATTTCCTCTCTCAAATAAAAGATACTGGCATTGACCAGGTAGTTTTGCCCACTTTGAAGATTTTCCAAAGTATGGCTTGCTCAGAAATAGAGAATCCCTATCCATCAATAGTATCTTCCTTGTAGTACTGCATGAACTCCATATCTGAGGGATATTGTTCCTGAACTTATAGTGGATACAGAAGAATGTGGATAATAGTGAACCCTATTGATGTTGATACTTCTAACATAGAGTTGCCTTAGAAGAAGTATCCTTTCTAGGATTTTGCTAGACCCCCAAAGGGTGAAAGTGTGCCATAGAATCATCTGGAGCATCTAGAACATTCCCAGACCTCACAACCTCTGAGGATGCCTGCCACAGATGCAGATGAAACATCAGGAGAGAATGCTTCTGGAACATGGCCATATAGCCCAAAAAAACCAACAACAATCCAGTGATCTGGCCATGCAAACCTTTAACAACACAATTCCCAGAGAGGACATATTTTAGGGAGGAAATTAGGCGAAACCGTGAGTCCCACTCTTGCAGACACCAGGATTGCACTGTATTATATAGTTCACTTTGAATAGGCTTGCTTGAAGCACCATGGTCTGCTATAGCCATGATGGCTCTAATACTGCACATTAAATTTCAGATTTATTCCAACCAACTCCTTTTATTGTCTTTTTTTTTTTTTTTTGGTTGTGTCAGGAGCGACTTGGGAAACTGCAAGTCGCTTCTGGTGTGAGAGAATTGGCCGTCTGCAAGGACGTTGCCCAGGGGATGCCCGGATGTTTTGATGTTTTACCATCCTTGTGGGAGGCTTCTCTCATGTCCCCACATGAGGAGCTGGAGCTGATAGAGGGAGCTCATCCGCACTCTCCCCGGATTCGAACCTGCGACCTGTCAATCCTGCCGGCACAATATAGAAATGCAGTGACAACTAAATATCACAAGTTGTAACTTAATGGCTTGATTATTTTTTTTCTGGCACAAGGGAAATACAAGTAATGCACAGATATGTGTGTATATTCGCAACTCTTTACAATTCCTCAAAAGAGATGCCACAAAGTAATAATTCCTTTGACTCTTAGTAGGCTCTATGTAACAGTTGATGGAATTATTACTTTGTGGCATCTCTTTTGAGGAATTGTAAAGAGTTGTATATATACGTAAGGGAAATCCGACCAGCCTTTCCCACCTCAACTTGGAAATAGTTGAGCGCAGTTCTTTGCTTCTGATTTAGCATTCAAAAGCTTAAGTTACCATCCTCATCTACCTCTCGTGGTCCTTGAAGTCACCATGAAAGCAAGAGAAGACAATCAACTTTGTGCCAAAGACGCAAGACACTCTGTGAATCTGGATCTACACTGTCATAAAATCCAGATTACCTGCTTTGATCTGGATTATATGGCAGTATAGACTCATATAATCCAGTTCAAATCAGATAATGTGAATTATCTCATTTGGCAAATCTGGATTATATGGCAATGTAGATCCATCCTGAAGTTCCCTTTGTAGTGTTGCAAGCTGCAACAATGGAAACGTCATGTTATCTTTTGTCTGCATAACAGAGCAGAATCCAGACTTAATGCAATGTTACACCGATGTAACTTCATGTACAAGGAGGAGAAGGACAATGGCTGATTAGATATCCAAGCAAACAAACAAAACAATTGTGTGTGTGTGTGTGTGTATAGGACAGGGCATTCCATAGCCGAGGGGCCACCACTGAGAAGGCCGTCTCTCGTCCCCACCAGCCGTACTTGAGACGAAGATGGGATGGAGAGCAGGGCCTCCCCAGATTATCTTAAAGTCCTAGGAGAGTCATAAGGGGAGATGAGTTCGGACAGGTAAGTTGGGCCAAAACCATTTAGGCTAAAGCCAGCACTTTGAATTGTGCCCGGTAGCAAAATGGCAGCCAGTGGAGCTGGAGTAACAGAGGAGTTGTATGCTCCCTGAGTGCTGCTTCTGTTAGCAATCTGGCTGCCATCCGTTGGACCAATTGACACTTCTGGACAGTCTTCAAAGGCAACCCCACGTAGAGTGCGTTGCTGTAGTCTATACGGGATGTAACCAGAGCATGGACTACCGTGGCCATATATATGGTGTGTGTGTATATGTGTGTGTTTGTGTGTATAGATAGATAGATAGATAGATAGATAGATAGATAGATAGATGGTATATATCTATCTACAGTATATATATCTATATAAATAAAAATGTAATGTTAGTTTGTGGGATTAACATAACACAAAAACCACTGGACGAATTGACACCAAATTTGGACACAATACACCTATCAGACCAACGAGTGACCATCACTCATAAAAACACTAAAAAAAACACAGCGAAAGAGACTTCAAAAGCCTAAAAATAAAAAATAGAGTGCATGCACAAAACCACACACACACATATATACACGCAAACACACATATATACACATATATACACACAAAACATATACACAGGCTGGACCACAGCAACGCATGACAGGGGACGGCTAGTGTATGTGTGTGTGTATATATGTATTTGTTTAAGTGGCTGAGGGGGAAAGGAAGGGGCCTGAGGCTGTTAGGAATTGTGGGAGTTGAAGCCCAAAACACCTGGAGGACCAAAGTTTGCCCATGCCTGTACTAAGCTGTATATAAAAATGAGTCTCTTTTATGGAGGGAAAAATAAACATAAATAAACATAAACATAACAACAGTAATAATAATTGAATTCGTTACTTGGGTGCTATCTCCAAGATACCTTGTTATGAAATTTGGGTATTCAAAAATCCAAAACACTCCTGGCCCCAAGCATTTCAGATAAGGAATATCCAACCTGTACCGTTAAAACATGCAAAGGACCAACACTGAAATGGAACTCAACCATCGTTAACATTTCATAACAATTTGGAATTATTGAGCACAGTGGAGGATAGAAAGATATAATCAAAAATCATGTGGACTAAGAGCAAAAAAGAAATGTCTAATGTAAATGTTTATAGGCTTCAGATCCCTTTTTCAGAGGGATCCGTTATATCTTGACCAGTTATTTCTAACTTAGGAGCCCCCGGTGGCACAATGGGTTAAAAAACCCTTGTGTCTGCAGGACTGAAGACTGACAGGTCAAAGGTTCGAATCCAGGGAGATTGCAGATGAGCTCCCTCTGTTAGCTCCAGCTCCCCATGCGAGGACATGGGAGAAGCCTCCCACAAGGATGGTAAAACATCAAAACATCCTGGCATCCCCTGGGTGACATCCTTACAGACGGCCAATTCTCTCACACCAGAAGCGACTTGTAGTTTCTCAAGTCACTCCTAACATGAAAAAAAACTTTAACAAACAGAAACAGTTTGTTAAAGTCGTTTATGACAGGCATGTGTGTCAGGTTTGATCTGTATCCATTGCCCGTAAGGTTCACAGTGCTCCCTGGATGTTGGTGGACTTTAACTCCCATCATCCTCTGTCATTGTTCCCCAGACCCTGCCAGTATTTAAAGCTGGTTATTAATGGTCTGTGTAGCAGGTTCGGTCCAGATCCACAGTCGGAGGGACTCACAGTGCTCTCTGGAAGTGAGAGCTGTCTTGGAAATCACCCATATACATATACACGAACACACTTTCACTTTCATTATATACTGACTTAGGTAACCTGCAAGGCCTGGGTTAGGTATTTGGCAATTTATAATGCTATTTATTTGAAAAAGTTGTTTTTGGGCTTCATGAATGGTATAATTAAGAAAATACATAAGGATGTGGACTACAACTCACATACCAGTACTTAAAGTTGGTCATGTTGGGTATGTGTGTCAAGTTTGGTTGAGATCCATCAATGGTGAGGGACACAGTACTGTCTGGATGTAGGTTGAACTACAACTCTCATCATACTGGTTCAGTCCTCCCCAAACTCCTCTAATATAGTCTATTGGTCATTGGGAGGCGGGGTCTGTGTGCCAAGTTTGGTCCAGATCCATCATCGGTGGGGGTCTCAGGGCTTTTTGGAAGTGGGAGCCAATAGGAAATTGCCCACAAACATGCACCGCCACAGACGCACATAAATTCACTATTATTAGATATAGATAAGCCTTTGGTGCAAAAAAAAGAGAGCTAAGAATAAGATTTTATATGGAATCTGCATCCCCTACATTATTATAATTTGCCAGAAATGTCTGGAAATTGGCACTCCCGACACAAAAATAAATCTAACTTGACTCAATGGGATTCACTTGGTATGTCATGCTGAAAGAGATACTGTAGGCGGGGAGGTAATTCTGGGCCTTCTATAATGAGACTGAAAATGAGGTCCTTACACCTTTGACCTGAAATGGTACAGCCCTCTCTATCCCTATGTAGGACTCGTCCATATTCATTTCCCCACCTGCAGAAGCTAGGCTTAAAGTGAGTTGACCCCTGATCTTGATGAACTGCTGGTTTTCTTGGCAACCCACTTGGTGTCCTCTTTCTCAAAACAGCCCATTGGTTGGTGCAGGAACCTTCTTCGGGTAGGAGATCCACCAAGTGAGATCCTGTGTCTTCAATTCCGTCAACAATGAAGGCCAAAAGCAAAGGGGCCAAATCCCGACACGTTGCCAAGGAGGACACTTTGCACCAAGAAATGACCCAGAGGAAGGAGGAACCTCTCAAGTGTTCGCGGCGCAAAGAGAAACGCAACGAGGAGAGCCAGAAAGCCACCACCAGATCTGCCAAAGAGCTCCCTTGGAGCAGTAAAGACCGGCGCCTGCGAAGGCTGGAGAGCAACGAGCGCGAGAGGCAGCGCATGCACAAGCTCAACAACGCCTTCCAGGCCTTGCGGGAGGTCATCCCTCACGTCCGGGCAGAGAACAAGCTCTCCAAAATTGAGACGCTCACCTTGGCAAAGAACTACATTAAGTCACTCACCTCGACGGTTCTCAGGATGTCCAGCGGGCACCTCCCTGCTGTCGAAGCCCCTGCTTCTGGTGGCAAATCCAAACTATATGAACACTATCAGCAGCAGTGCGAGGACGAGGAGGAACCCAAGGACCAGCTTCAGAAATACTCCACCCAGATCCACAGCTTCAGACAAGGCAGCTGAAGTTAGCGGCTGGTCCTTGGGGCTTAGAAAGTATCACCCATAGAATGTGACTTCTCAAGGCGCCTTCCCCACCACAGGATTCAAGGAGATCCTTGTTAAACGCTCTTTGTTTGTTTATGTCCGTTTTCTGATGAGAATTCAAAAGTTGGTAAGGTGAAGGTAAAGGTTTTCCCCTGACACTAAGTCCAGTAGTGTCCGACTCTGAGGGGTGGTGCTCATCTCTATTTCTAAGCCGAAGAGCCAGCATTGTCCATAGACACCTCCAAGGTCATGTGGCCGGTATGACTGCATGGAGCGCCATTACCTTCCTGCTGGAGCGGGAGTTTTTGAACTACTTTGGCAGAAGCTGGGGCTGACAGCGGGAGCTCACGCCATTCCCCGGGTTTGAACCTGTGACCTTTCAATTAACCCGCTGCACCACTGGGGGTTTCTGTGGTACTGTATATGTAATATACAATGGGGAGCAAAATGAACTGATAGGAGCCTGCCAGTTAGCAATCACATTGCCTATTTTTTATTTTTCCATTTTTTCTTCCTGACTGAAACTTAACTTTCTGTGGTTCTTGTGAATACTCAATCCCCATTGTGCCATTTTCCCAGAATTGCTGCTGCGGTCTTTCAGTCAACAAGCTCAGCAGCTCAAAGGTTTAACCCACTGCACCACCAGGGGTTTGTGTGTGTATGTGTGTGTGTGTCTATACATATATATATATACACACACATACATATATATACACACATGCACATGCGGTTCCCAAGTGACAAACATCTGGCATTTACGCCCCTTCCACACAGCTGAATAAAATCCCACCTTTTCTGCTTTGAATTGGGATAAATGGCAGTGTAGATTTAGATAACACAGTTCAAAGTGGTTATTGTGGGTTATTCTGCCTTGATATCCTGAGTTATATGGCTGTGTGGAAGAGCCCTTAGTTAAGAACCGGGCTGAAACAACAGAAAGTGAGAAATCTGTCCCTTGGAAGGGAAATCCACTCCTGGAAGAGTTGTCATGGGGAAAAAGGGGTCTCCACTGAAGCTTTATCTCCAATCCTTGTTTCCACAACAACCCACATCTTTCAGAATCCAATTCTCACAGGGACAGAAAGTGAACAGGGGCATAGACAGGACCACAAACACCATAGGGGTGTCAACCCTTCCTTGTGCAATCCAAAGCTTTAAATATTTTGGCTCGGGTTACACTTTAAAAATGTACTTGTTCCAACTTACATACAAATTCAAATTAAGAACAGAACCTATCTTGTTCATAACATGGGGGTTACCTGTAAACACACACATACAGTATACTCATACTAAGATAGTTACACTGGATCCAACTGAATTGAAGAGAGGTATTGACAAGCTGGAACGTGTCCAGAGGAGAGCAACTAAAATTATCAAGGATCTGGAGAATAAGCCCTATGAGGAGTGGCTTAAAGAGCTGGGCATGTTTAGTCTGAAGAAGAGAAGGCTGAGAGGAGGCATAAATATGTCAAGAGGAAGTCATAGGGAGGAGGAAGCAAACTTGTTTTCTGCTGCCCTGGAGACTAGGATGCAGAACAATGGCTTCAGACTACAAGAAAGGAGATTCTATCTAAACATGAGGAAGAACTTCCTGACTGTGAGAGCTGTTCAGCAGTGGAACTCTCTGCCCCGGAGTGTGGTGGAGGCTCCTTCTTTGGAAGCTTTTAAACAGAGGCTGGATGGCCATCTGTCAGGGGTGTTTTGAATGTGGTTTTTCTGCTTCTTGGCAGAATGGGGTTGGACTGGATGGCCCATGAGGTCTCTTCCAACTCTATGATTCTGTGATCCTGCAATGGTACACCTGATGTCAACAAAGGAAATGGGGACCTTAAGCTCAACTCCTTGCCTGTCTGTTTTTATATTGACATTGTGCCCTAGCAGGACTCCAGCCCTTATGCCCAGATTTGTGCCTATCTGTACAAATGCATATGTGCAACTCATTGTGTCCTTTGTATTAATTTGGAAATGGCCACCAAAGTTTGGCGTAAGGCAGCATTGTGTAATACACAAACACAGGTATTGTTCCTGGCTTTATCACTTGGCTATTCATCCTATGTATGTACCCTGAAGCCAAATATGTGATCTTGGAAAGGATTTTTAGTATTTATCTATGAACGGCACCTAATAGAATGAAGCCTGTTTAGGTGCTGTCTTTTTACAAACTGTACATAATACTATTGTATTGTTTTTGCAACTGATAAAAATAAGAGACGTTGGTGTATATTTAATTCTCTTTGATTGAAAGGAGGACATGATTAAGTCAAAGTGATTCTGAGCCAATGTGAAGCTCTTCCGGGGAAAATATATGACAGTACTGTGACAGACAATAAAAGAATTAAAGGAAATATTAAAAGCAAGGAGACTAAGTTTCCATATTGTCTATTCATGTGGTCCAGTTTCTTGAGTTCATTGTCAAAGACAAGTTCAAACTCTAAACTAAACAAGTTTTGTTAATGCAGCTGGTTTATATGGAGCGTCCTTTCCAAAAGAGGCCAGGTAGAAGAATATATTTAAGGAGAGTGTACTTAATAGTTCCTTCACTGGATTAAAAAAAAGAACTTTTATATAAATCAGCATTTGTCAACTTGGGGATCAGGACCCCTGGGGGGGTCACGAGGGGGTATCAGAGGGGTCGCCAAAGACTATCAGAAAACACATCAAATACTATCAGAAAACACTGTATTTTCTGTTGGTCATGGCCACTCTGTGTGGGAAGTTTGGCCCAATTCTATTGTTGGTGGGGTTCAGAGTGCTCTTTGATTGTAGGTGAACTATAAATCCCAGCAACTACAACTTCCAAATATCAAGGTCTATTTTCCCCAAACCTCCACCAGTGTTCACATTTGGGCATATTGAGTATTCGTGCCAGGTTTGGTCCAGATTCTTCATTGTTTGAGTCCACAGTGCTCTCTGGATGTAGGTGAACTACAACTCCAAAACACAAGGTAAGTGCCCATCAAGCACTTCTAGTATTTTCTGATGGTTGTGAGAGTTCTGTGTGCCAAGTTTGGTTCAATTCCATCGTTTGTGGAGTTCAGAATGCTCTTTGATTGTAGGTGAACTATAAATCCCAGCAACTACAACTCCCAAATGTCAAGGTCTATTTACCCCAAACTCCACCACATTTGGGCACATTGAGTATGCATGCCAACTTTGGTCCAGATCCATCATTGTTTGAGTCCACAGTCCTCTCTGGATATAGGTGAACTACAACTCCAAAACACAAGGTAAGTGCCCATCAAGCACTTGTAGTATTTTCTGATGGTTGTGAGAGTTCTGTATGCCAAGTTTGGTTCAATTCCATCGTTGGTGGAGTTCAGAATGCTCTTTGATTGTAGGTGAACTATAAATCCCAGGAACTACAACTCCCAAATGACAAAATCAATCCCCTCCCTGCCCAACCCCACCAGTATTAAAATGTGGGTGTATCAGGTATTTGGTCCAGTGAATGAAAATACATCTTGCATATCAGATAGTTACATTACGATTCATAACAGGAGCAAAATGACGAAAATAATTTTATGGTTGGGGTCACCACAACAAGGAGAACTGTATCAAGGAGTCGCGGCATTAGGAAGTTGAGAACCACTGATAGGACCTCACAATCTCTGAGGATGCCTGCCATAGATGCAGGCGAAACGTCAGGAGAGAATGCTTCTGGAACATGGCCATACAGTCCGAAAAACTTACAGCAACCCAGTGATTCTGGCCATGAAAGCCATTGATGACACCACTGATATAAATGATCTACTGATGTGGAGTCAAGGTACAGATGTTTTTGGGTGGGTATGTGTGCTTCTTAACAGCTAATACTATAATTGTAAGGTATTCAGATTTCCTTTTTAGTTTTGTCTCCTCTGTTATCAGGGGCGGCTCAACCCATTACGCAAAGTAAGCATTCGCAGTATAGTTGATTTTGCCCAGGGGTGCTCTTGAGGCACTCTTGGGGAGAAATAGACCTTGACATATGCGAGTTGCAGTTACTCGGATGTATAGTTCAGCCTTCAGGCACGCCTCCGGACCCAAAGCGAGTCTGTTATGTTCATTCCCCGTGGGAAAAGCCAAGAAAGCAAACCCTTATTGCAGGTAGAAAAAACCCAGCTGCTTCTGGAAAGATCAATAATGGGCTAAATCATTTCTGAAGTACTTTAATTGCAAAGTCAACAAACCTTGGCTTATTTCTGAAGGAACAGGGAGAACAACGGCACACAGTTGTTATGACGCGATTGAGAGTAAGGAGATTGGGAGGGGAAAGGAAAGATTGGGAGTCCAGAGAAAGAAATGGTGTCAGTCTTAAGAACAATGCCTTCTGTCTCCTTGAGGGTTGGACAAGACCAAAACAGCCACCTTGTCTATTCTACCACACAGGAATACACTATCAAAGCACTCCCAACAGATGGTCATCAAACCTCTGTTTACTACACCACCCTCCACTCCCCAACAACAGGAAGTTATTTCTCATGTTCAAGTGGAATCTGTTTTCCAAATAGATTTGAACCCATTGCTCCATTGTGTCCTGGACTCCAAAGCAGCAGAAAACAAACTTGCCTCCTTCCTCAATGCAATATCCTTTCAAATATCTAAACCAGTGTTCGTCAACTTGAGGGTCGGGACCCCTGGGGGAGTCGCAAGGGGGTTTCAGAGGGGTTGCCAAAGACCATCAGAAAACACGTATTTCTGATGGTCTTTGGAACACCTTTGACAGAGAAGGCTGAAGATCTCTCCACCTATCATTCTCTTTCTTTATGGAAACAGACGGTAAATTATAGGTGAACTATAAATCCCAGCAACTACAGCTCCCAAATGTCAAGGTCTATTTTCCACAAACTCCACCAGTGTTCACATTTGGGCATATTGGGTATTTGTGCCAAGTTTGGTCCGGATCCATCATTGTTTGAATCCTCAGTGCTCTCTGGATGTAGGTGAACTATGACTCCAAAACACAAGGTCAATGCCCACCAAACCCTTCCAGTATGTTCTGTTGGTCATTGGAGTTCTGTGTGTCAACTTTGGTTCAATTCCATCATTGGTGGAGTTCAGAATGCTCTTTGATTGTAGGTGAACTATCAATCCCAGCAACTACAGCTCCCAAATGTCAAGGTCTATTCTCCCCAAACTCCATCTGTGTTCACATTTGGGCATATTGAGTATTCGTGCCAAGTTTAGTTTGGACCCATCATTGACTGAGTCCACAATGCTCTCTGGATGTAGGTGAACTACAACTCCAAAACTCAAGGTCAATGCCCACCAAACACTTGTAGTATTTTCTGTTGGTCGTGGGAGTTCTGTGTGCCAAGTTTGCTTCAATTCCATTGTTGGTGGAGTAGAAAGCTCTTTGATTGTAGGTGAACTATACATCCAGCAACTACAACTCCCAAATGACAAAATAACCCCCCACCCACCCCACCAGTATTGAAATTTGGGCATATCGGGTATTTGCGCCAAATTTGGTCCAGTGAATGAAAATACATCCTGCATATCAGATATTTACATTACAATTCATAACAGTAGCAAAATGACAATTATGAAATAGCAACATAATTCATTTTATGGTTGGGAGTCACCACAATACGGGGAACTGTATTAAGGGTTTGCGGCATTAGGAAGGTTGAGAAACGCTGATCTAAACATACCTGTCCTGTCTCCTTTTTACCTTATATTCTCCAAACTAAACGAGGGTTGATATTGTAATTGAATTATGG